ATCTATCTGAGAATATTCTCATTACAATTTATTGGAAATGAAAGCTCGCCGTCAACAAAGGAACAATTTGGACGCGAGAAATTTGATTCTCCATCTTCTCGCAGCGTAACGTCGTTTCCTCGAAGCTTGGTGCTCGTGCACTCACTTCCACAGTATTTGACTTTCACTCACTTCGCGCGCGCCTATTTCTTCAATTTCCGCGAACGAAGACAAGTCAGGATCCCCGCAGGCGAGATGCTTACGGCGAAGAGACTTGCAAATAGAATTCCACGCATTCAAGATGCGGGCCGGGCGACGCGACGCGACGAGACGCGACGGAGGGATGAGACGTAGCATGAAACGTGACGCGTTTGATCGAGTGCAACGCCTCGCGGGGTTTAGGCGATTGGGATGGATGACAGGAGGATGGGGATGGGGTAAGGGTGATCGCCGAATGTGCTGAACGCGCGAAGGAGCCGCTTCTCATTCGATATCCGTGGCTGATTTCGAGGTACCCATCCCGAGCGCCGTCCAACAATGGAGTCTCTTTTGTCGACGGGAAAGAGGATATCGCTGTTGAACGTCAATCGACTGGAAACGATCGATGCGTTTACTGGCTTAAGCGATTTCCCACTTTGTTCGAGCCGTGCCGCGTGCGCGATTTATATTCGTGGCCGTGCGCTTTTACGATATATTAATACGACTGTGACGATATTGCTATGATTTACTTTCGACCTATGCGAGCTGTATAAATACGCATTGACAGGTGGATTCTTCCTAAATACAGCTAATAGAATGATTATTCTGTTACATAAATTCAATATTGACATATAATATATATTTAACACTTAAACGAAATATTGCAATTTTAGATTTATTATTTAATCGGATGGTATGGTATTATGAAATTAATCATTCATTCGTGCAGGATTTGTTAGAGATTTTTTTCTATGAAAAATTTTTTTCGAATGGATCAGTTATACGAATAATTGATATATCGAGTGTGTGTAGTCGGTATATTATTATATTTTTATATAAATGAGATATTAATTATATTAAATTGCTACACTTAAATGTGATATAACGTAACGAGTACCGTTGTTCCTAATATGGATTAAAAATGACTTATAGAAAAGGAGATTAAGAAACCTGTTATTGCTGCAAGAATTATGTGCGATAATAATGACAAACCGCGACCAGAATTTTCTCCGTGGAAGCCGTTATTACTGCGAGATTTATCACCGACAATGTTGGAAATTAAAAAACGCAAGTGCTCCGCATTTGAAAATGAGAATTTCGCCGGCTTTGCTTTACTGTTAAAATTGAGTACACAAACTAATGCGGAATGAGAGGAATGCAAATGCAAATAGCGTTGATTCAGCTCGGGCGTTTGCGAGCCTCTTTTGCTTTTCTAGTCAAAAAAGCTTATCTGATGTATGGTTAAGGCACATCAGATATGCTATTAACAATATTTGTAGGAGGCATACATTTCACTATTGATAAAATGTTATTTTAAAGAATCTACGTAAATAATAAAATAAATTCCAGCCAATTCTTTTTAAATAACATTACATTACATTTTAAATATACACAAAAATCTAAATATTCTACAAATTAATGATACTACAAGAGTATCTTTTTCTTTTAAAAATCTTTTAGAAATATATTCTACATATTATACATTTCCAAGCTGCATTAATTTTTAATAATGGTTTAATTATAAATAAATTCTTAGTTAAATGTGAAACTTTTTATAAAATTATATAGGGAAAAAGGGGGTAAAAGATGACGATCTTAAGGTTTATCAATTTTTTCTAATTTCTGCGATGAGATAAAGAGACTGATTAATTTTTTCTTTTCAAGTTTACTGCAGTCTTAGTTATCATTTGTAAAAATTATAAAGTTGTTAAATAAACAATTACAATTCTTTAAAATTTAATTTTTTTAAGGACATATTAATTTCGTTCTCTTGCCCCCCATATGTGGATAAGATGACTTTTAGTAGTGGATAAGATGACGAAAAGTCAATTTAAGTTAAAAATATACTTTTTATGAATAGAAAAAGATTTATTATGATATGTTTTAATAAATTATAAGAAGTTTAGAGAAAAAAATATAAACAAAATAAAACCTTTATATAATTTATGAAATTTATAAAATTTATAAAATTATTGAAACGTTAACATTAACATAGTTATATTTATATATTATACGTATATACTGTATGTAGTAATTACGTAATGAACTTACTATTGTAGAATAAAAATATTTACTTAGATGTACGATTTTTTTAAATTGTGGCATAACTTCTATTATGGATGTGTTCGTAACAAGATGTTATAGCAGACTGAGCGGCAATCGCTGCTGCGTGCTCAGACACGTTTAAGCGTGTTTTGTTTGTAATGTAGCCTCGATTGTTCTACTTACCCCTATAGTCAACTGACCCCGGTCTACCCTACTATAATTATGTCATTCCTTATGTATAAATACTGCAACATTACAAGTGAATGCATCCAAAACACATTTCTTAATATTATCTATTTTTGTAGTCGGATTAAATTCAAATTATAAGAGATTGTGTATTATTACCTAAAGCCTTTAATAAGTTAAGCATCTGTTTTTCATCTATTACTATCTTTAAAAAATTAACAATTCGTTATCTTACCCTCTTCGTCATTTTACCCCCCTTTCTCCTTACGCATTTTATAATGTAATAATTTATAAAATAAACTAATATCTCTGATTATATAAATAAAATTTATATAATGAAAATTAATTAATACTGTTCTAAATATATGGAGTATATCTTCAGTATAATATTGATCTCTCTAAGTAGATTGTGACTGTGATATATTCTCTAAGTAGATTGTAACTGTGATATATTCGGATTTCCTTATTTATACTTCATCTTCTACGTACAGTTACATAATGTACGTATATCAAATATACCAGTAGGTTACGTTATAACGTATCTGATAATTAATAAGAGTTTGCTTAATCGACATAAAGATGATGTTAATATTTAATCAGTTGTCTATGCTAAAATTATACATATCATATTTTTTTAGATAGTCAAGTTTGTCTCTCTCTTCCGTATAAAATTTTCAATTAAACATTTCTCACTCTAATTTTATATTAATTTTATCTTAATATGACATTCGCCGCGGCGCCGTTATCTTTATAAATTTACGACCAGATACAGCAGTCATTCGAAAGAGAGAAATTAAACCTCTCTGTTTTTATAAGAGAAAACCCTCTTTATTATTTTATTGTGGTCTTATAATATCCTCCTTTCCAACACGCTTGTAAAAAATTTTAATCGTGTGACATTTTAAATATTATATGACATGTCTTACAATTCACAGCTTAATTGTAACGTAGTAGTTGAATTTATATATGAAATTTATTATGGACATTGATAAAAACGATATATATATAAATACCCGCGACAATTTATGTAAAATTCAATGTGACATGTTTGTTCTTTATATGAAATTTGTTGCGTCTGTTTATTTATTTATTTTTTTTTTTTTTTGGATAAATATGGAACAACACGACATATAAACGTAAAATACTTATTCTCTACATTGCCGCTATTCTTTATCGATATTAAATTATTAATATTATTTTATCTTGTAATTTTTATTGCAATGTTTTAAAATACATTATATCTCAGTAATCTTTTTCTGTCCACATTTTTATATTTTAGTCTGCAAAATATTGACTATTTTCAAGAAATTTCTCTTTTTTTCTATTTGGCTCATCATTATTTAACTGTTTACCTATTATCTTATTTTCCTTGACTAATTCTCAAATCAACTGAAGAACGGTTATTTATTATGTTTATACTTCAAGTTGTTTCTGCGACGAAAAAATATTCCTGTGAAAAAATGCAGACGTATAAATATACATATGTGTAGGTACACTAAGTTTTACATTTCATCTGATATAAACACCTTCAATCCGACATGGAAACTGATTATGAAGGGATCTCATTCACGAGTAGATATTCGCTTCGGTACACCAGGAAGGATAAATCGGAAATTTAGCAAACAGTACATTTCGTGAACGGTGCGTACGCTGGCAGCTGTTAATTGAAATTATTCACAGATGGTAATCATAGTAATGGCCGTTATTGAATGGCACATCTCATAATCGCTTCATTAGCACGCAATGCGCGCAATCGTAACAATGTACTTACTCTCGGCTGCAGTATAATGCGCTAATTACAAACGAATACCTTGAATTAATATATGATAATTATCTCATGGGTGGAAGCATACGTATTTATAGTAGAGCTAATTACGAAGACATCGATTGTGAATCGAAATGTATTCATGTATTAAATGCATTATGAGACTAGAAAATCGCGAATAGCGAATTGCAACAGAGTAAATATTGGATAAGTACAATGTGTATAGAATTTGACGAGAGTACGGTAATACACGGAAACGGCAATCTCTCGCTCTCGCAAGTATTATGAAAAAAAGCGAAGAACACATACATTTTATTTGCCGTATCCATAAACCACGGCGTGTGTCTGCGGCTAGCTGTGTGTTCGTGCATTAACTAGGTCCGGAAGTCGCAATCCCTGCATCCCCGGAATTCATTTTGCGGTTGCTGAGCTTCGGGCGAGCGTACACCTCGTGGGCGTTTAGTTTACGAACATTCTCTACCTTAATCGTATTACCGTATTTTCCTGACATATCTTCTCGTACATATTATCGGTTTCGCGTAATCATCCCTGTTGCGGTCTACAGATCAAGAACTCGATTCGGCCGCACTGTGCTCGTGATTGTTCTGCAAACAATCGCGCAATCCGCTATCGAAGTTAATATTATTAGAGGAACGTAGACAAGACCCCATATTCAGCATGGAACGCAACGATATTTCGATTTTGCTTCGTTAGTAATATTTGTATGTGAAATATTACGAATTTCAACAACACTATAAGCGATTTTCCTTCACAGCACAATCGTTAACGGTCTATTTAATGATTGCTTCGATTCTTTTTGTTTTAGGTGTAAGGAATCTGGTAGGTATTTGAAGGATCTTCCGCCTACAGCAGTAATTATCTGCTTCCACAACGAAGCTTGGTCTGTGTTGTTGCGTACAGTGCACTCCGTGCTGGATAGATCGCCAGAACATCTCATACAGGAAATCATTCTGGTCGACGATTTCTCTGACATGCGTAAGTCGTTTTTCTACTAATACAGAGAAAAGTTAAACAAATTCGTTATTATCTTTCGTAACTCTCCGAATCTGACGTTAAAATCTGTAATACTGTTACTGACGCTGCATAGGTCCTGTGAGACCTATTTCATTTATGTTAATTAAAAAGTACTAATTTTAAGGAATCAAAATAATAAACGTAACTCGTATAAAAAGAATAAATATTAACAAGGGAACCGCCGTAATTGTCCCTTGATTTCGATAGGTTTGGATATACTTAACTGAAGCATCAACAAAAATATTAGATTATTTTTTTTAAGTTTTATGGTATTTTATACTTTTAATAATAGTGTCATATTTATCGAAAATGTCAAATTTTTTAAATTTCTCTTACTCACCAGGGGTTGTCGACTCCTAAAGCTTAGAAATAAACGTATAAAAATATGCTGGATCTAATATCTTTTGATGCTCTACAATTCATCAGAATCCAACAAAGCTCATCAAAATCAATGAAAGAGCTCTAACGGTTCTCTTGTAAATATAATTTTAATAAGAATAATTCAATTTTTTGTGCATAATGCATCATAAAAAGAATTGTTCGACATTTTTCACAAAGAGATTTATAATTAAATGCGTCCAACGGATCTACCGTTAATTCCAGAAAGTTAAAATTGTCGAATTTCGTAATAACGCACAGTAGACTTTATTTTATTTGTGCGTGGTACAAAACAGATTTCAACTTTGTTTTCGATACCGGAAAATTACGAGAAATAATTTATATGATCATTCTCATCGGGGAAAATTAATACGTAATTTGTATCTCTATTGCATATTGACATATGATATATTCAAGGTATTTCTTTCGTATAAAGCGAAAAGTAGACGAGTTACTCTCGCGTTATCGCTCGAACCGCACACGTACTTTAAATTCAAAACGAAATATCTTCTATGCTCAAGCTCAATCGAAGCGGAATAGCATATCGTTTCCGTAGCGTCATAAATCCTCGTGCAGCTCTCATCGCCGAGCAATGAAAAATCCTCGATGGAACGCCAAAAGGGGAACTCGTAAGCACAGAACGCGAACGGAAACCACGAACCATTATATTCGCGTACTTGCTCGTACAAGCGCTCTATTCAGAACGGTGATTCGTTATCGCGACAGTGTTTCGTAGTTTTGCGATAGATCGATTAATTGCGATCCATCTCTCCACTGTGTCGCCTCGACGTGAATAGAAGAGAAACTCTCAGCCTGCTTTACAGATACCCTGAAAATTACGAGAGGTTCATACAAACTCTGCTGCTCGGCTCTCTCTATAAGTTTAACGTGCTCACTTGTTCTCGTTTTCCAAAATCGGGCGTGAACGCGGTATATTGTATCAAATATTACAGCTATGGGGAAATACTTATACAAGAAAGGTTCAATCTGAAAACTCGTAAAAATCTGCAAACTTTGCAAAAATACAGTACATGTACCTATACTTATATAATTATATAACTATATATAATTATATAAATTTTCTATTTCGGTTCTAATATCGAAAACACTTAAAGAAATCTAACATTTCCATACTTCTGTTAATATCTCAGAAACTAAATTAAACTCTAAATTATCAGTCGAAACAGCAAATCTATGTGCGACAATCAAGTTCAAATGTATTTTGTTTCTACATTTTTTGTATTTTATTTTATTTGTGAATTTCAGATTTAAAAAAAATCGTTTATTTGCCAAACTTTTCTTATTAGAAAAAGGAAATTTAGAGAAAGAGATTTTGAAGTAGAAAAACTATTTGAAGCTGTTTCTATATTTTTTTTTTATAATAAATGCTGTTTCGCGAAATGAAGAAACAAAGAATGTACATATATATATATGTACACTTCGGCGAAAAAATATTTGTCATTGTTCAAGTTTTGATGTCTTTATTAACTTGAAAAACTATGTTTGTGATTATTCATATTCATCTGTCAGAATACATGTTTCTCGCCTAAAGGCATATACGTGAAGTTGATAGAAATATATGAAACATGTAATTTCGTAAATGCGAGCGAAACAAATACGCATTGTTTGGATGCAAAAAGGCAATTATAGCTTCAACGTAGTTGCACGTTTTCGAATAAACTGACGTTTATACAACAGCCACTAAATCGAAATCTAAATTACAAAACTAGTAAAACTGGAATCACTGTTAACAAAAAAAGTCCTATAGTTATATAAACTATTTACGAGCGTTAGTTATATTTAAAAAATATGCATCACACGTTGATACATATAAAATATCAATTTCAGAATAGATGAAGGTTTGCGTCGGCATTCCTGAATTAAAAATATTATATTATTTTTTATTTTAATCGTATATTGAAGAAAGAACAATCGGTAATCGCATGAAATCCTACGAAATAATACAGGTGGATGAACATAAAAATCCTAAGAAAGGGTGTCTGAGATTAAGCTGGGTTCGCAGGAAAGCAGTGCATAGCTAGGATAGTTGCTGCGATCTTTATTAAAAGCTCAAGATAAGCTCTCGTCCCGACCGGAAGTTAAACCTATAAACATAATTACTTGCTCCAGCAATTTCCTGGTCAATATTTTATATACTATAAACAGACAAGTAATTACTCTATCACAGAAGGAGATTATAACACTGCATCTCATACGTACTTTTCCTTTTTCGCAAAGATAATTAAAAAATGCGAACGCGATAAATGAATTTATGCATGTTTTTCTTTAAGATCGCAGCATATATAATTCGAGAGTTTCCTTATACGTATGAATTTCTTTATGTATAATTATTTTCTTATAATTAGTCGTCGAATATTTTATTTCAATTATATGAATATTATATTACAATATGATAATTTTTTATTATATTAAAAAATTATCCCTTTATTCACCGATATACGCGCGATGGGCTAAAATGAATTCAATGATTAACAAAGTCCACAAGAAAGTTACAGCGTAGACTTTAGCCTTTCTCGGCAAAACTCACGCACGATAATTAGCTTTTATAAAGGGGATTGGCGACGGGGATTACAGAGTTAATTATGAGCGCTCTCGACGGCGACAGACTGTGCTCTTTGAGCGGTTCCATTATCTACGCCTCATATAGTGCACTCAGCAAAGTCATAATGAAATCTGCAATAATGGCCAGGGTCGGTTTATGCGTGCCTCTTTGTGTTCGAGGAATTCATTAGAAATTAATTCGGTTTGGAATGCGCGCGGATTCCACGCGCGCGAGCCGGTTGCGCGTGCATTAAATGTCTGATCTCTGATCTCTTACGGTCCATCTCTTCTCGTTCGAATGCAGCTAACGAGAACGTAGCGCGCTTCGTTCAACACACTTCAGTGTACTTCGAAAGGAACATTTTCTCGATTCGTAACTACCAGCGAGATCCATACAACGATCCCTATATATTTTTCTATATCTCGACACGAGGCACGAAACCATTTTTCTTTTCTGAACCGTATACGCAATACGGAATCTCTGAATGGCAATCGAACATGACGATTTTGTATTAAAGCTTATCAGATGCGCAACTCAACAAAAAGGGATTAAAATTAAGTGTCTCGTCCGGTAATCATTGCTCTTGCACGAAACACGTTGATCCGTAGAATCCCATTATACTATCCATAGTTAATCGAGCTTACAGGGCAGAGGCTTAGGATTAGTGGTACGGTCTCTCATAAAGCCATTCTAATGGAGAATAAATCACGAATATCTGCTAATTGCTGCCTAGCAATCCGTAACTATAGGCAGATGTGTTTTAAGTTTACATCTCGCTTATGTTTGTCAAAAATAATACGAGATAACAGACTGAGACCTCGAAGCATCCACACAAGTGACATCGAAGATTTTCAGTGGCAATATTATTATTTATCGTATTATTTTTGTTTAAGATCAGGATTGTGTATATTGAAATGAAAAACAGATAAAGGAATTTAAAACAATAATAAATCGATCCCTCGCCGACGCAATAAAATTATTTAGGCCCGATTGCACCAACGTCACTTTGATTTCAAGCGAAACTTAAAACTCTCTTTCTATCTCGTTTTAAAACCGAAAAGAAGCAGGGACAAAGAGAGTTTTAAATCTTGCTTAAAATTAGAGTAACGTTGGTGCAACCGGGCCTTCAAGATTTTAATGTCATTCAGCGTTATTGATATCGTTCTAAGATGCTTATGAGCATCGAATTGCTAGTCAATTTAATTTGTAATATTATTGCGGTTAGTAGTTTTATGGAGTTTGCATTTCATAATCGAAAAATTATTTTCGCGCGCAATTTAAAGGACTACATACGAGTATATATATATATATATATATATATA